GGAGAGATACGCACAGAGAGACACAGAGAGACGCACACAGACACACAGAGACACAGACAGAGAGACACACAGAGAGACACGGAGAGACACGCACAGAGAGACACAGAGAGATAGACAGAGAGACACAGAAAAACAGACAGAGACACGCACAGAGAGACACAGAGAGACACACACAGACACACAGAGACACAGACAGAGAGACACAGAGAGACACAGAGACACAGAGAGATACAGAGACACGCACAGAGAGACACGCACAGAGAGACACAGAGACAGAGAGACACAGAGAGACACAGAGACACAAAGAGACACAGACAGAGAGACACAGTGAGACACAGACAGAGACACAGAGACACGCACAGAGACACACAGTGAGACACACAGAGAGACACAGACAGAGAGACACAGAGAGACACACACAGAGAGACACAGAGACACGCACAGTGAGACACAGAGATACGCACAGAGAGACACAGAGACACGCACAGAGAGACACAGACAGAGCGACACAGAGAGACACAGTGAGACACAGAGACACGCACAGAGAGACACAGAGACACGCACAGAGAGACATAGACAGAGACACGAACACTCACACACACTGACAGAGAGACAGGACAGAGAGACAGAGACACTCACATAGAGACGCAGACACTCACACAGACACTCACACGGACAAAGACAAAGATCCCCCGTGTAGCCTCTAACAAACTGTAGGGGCAAGTGCTGTTAGCGAGCACCTATGAAGGCCGACACGGCACACGAGGGGGTGGGTGGACAGCGCCACGCCCGGCCGCCTTTGTCTCCCCAGTGGCAATGTTTACTACACACCGCACCAGGTACTCATTTGAGGCCGAGTCGACCTAGGGGAGGCCCAGGACCGGTTCAGATAATCGTCACCGGTGTTGGTGGCCGTGAGCGGGAATCGAACCCGGGTCGCCAGGTTCGTAGCGCAGCGTAGCGCTAACCGCTGCACCACCGCTCCCCACTACACACACACACACGCATAGACACAGACACACGTGTACACACAGACACACGTGTACACACAGACACACGTGTACACACAGACGCACACACGCGTGTACACACAGACACACGTGTACACACAGACACACACACGTGTACACACAGACGCACACACGCGTGTACACACAGACACACGTGTACACACAGACACACGTGTACACACAGACGCACACACGCGTGTACACACAGACACACGTGTACACACAGACACACACACGTGTACACACAGACGCACACACGCGTGTACACACAGACACACGTGTACACACAGACACACGTGTACACACAGACGCACACACGCGTGTACACACAGACACACGTGTACACACAGACACACGTGTACACACAGACGCACACACACGTGTACACACAGACGCACACACGCGTGTACACACAGACACACGTGTACACACAGACACAGGTGTACACACAGACACACGTGTACACACAGACACACGTGTACACACAGACACACGTGTACACACAGACGCACACACGCGTGTACACACAGACACACGTGTACACACAGACACACACACGTGTACACACAGACGCACACACGCGTGTACACACAGACACACGTGTACACACAGACACACGTGTACACACAGACACACACAGACACAGGTGTACACACAGACGCACACACACACACGTGTACACGCAGATGCACACACACACGTGTACACACACACAGACCCACACTCTCACAGAGACCCACACAGAGACACACACAGAGACCCACACTCTCACAGAGACCCACACACAGACCCACAGAGAGACCCACACACAGACCCACACAGAGACCCACACACAGACTCACACTCTCACAGAGACTCACACTCTCATAGAGACCCACACAGACACCCACACACAGACCCACACAGAGACCCACGCACAGACTCACACTCTCATAGAGACTCACACTCTCATAGAGACCCACGCAGAGACCCACACACAGAGACCCCCACTCTCACAGAGACCCACACAGAGACCCACACAGAGACCCACACCACACACTCATAGAGACCCACACAGAGACCCACACTCACACAGAGACCCACACTCTCACAGAGACCCACACACAGACCCACACAGAGACTCACACTCTCACAGAGACCCACACAGAGACCCACACACTCATAGAGACCCACACAGAGATCCACACTCACACAGAGACCCACACTCTCACAGAGACCCACACAGAGACCCACACACAGACTCACACCCTCACAGAGACCCACACAGAGACCCACACACAGACCCACACAGAGACTCACACTCTCACAGAGACCCACACAGAGACCCACACACAGACTCACACCCTCACAGAGACCCACACAGAGACCCACACACAGACCCACACAGAGACTCACGCTCTCACAGAGACCCACACAGAGACCCACACACAGACCCACACAGAGACCCACACACAGACTCACACTCTCACAGAGACCCACACACAGACCCACACTCTCACAGAGACCCACATAGAGACCCACACAGAGACCCACACACTCATAGAGACCCACACAGAGACCCACACACAGACCCACACTATCACAGAGACCCACACAGAGACCCACACACAGACCCACACTATCACAGAGACCCACACAGAGACTCACACTCTCATAGAGACCCACACAGAGACCCACACTCTCACAGAGACCCACATACAGACCCACACACAGAGACCCACACAGAGACCCACACAGAGACCCACACAGACCACACAGAGACCCACACATAGAGACCCACACATAGAGACCGACACAGAGACCCACACAGAGACCCACACTCTCACAGAGACCCACACAGAGACCCACACAGAGACCCACACAGAGACCCACACAGAGACCCACACAGAGACCCACACAGAGACTCACACTCTCACAGAGACCCACACACAGACCCACACTCTCACAGAGACCCACATAGAGACCCACACAGAGACCCACACACTCATAGAGACCCACACAGAGACCCACACACAGACCCACACTATCACAGAGACCCACACAGAGACCCACACACAGACCCACACTATCACAGAGACCCACACAGAGACTCACACTCTCATAGAGACCCACACAGAGACCCACACTCTCACAGAGACCCCATACAGACCCACACACAGAGACCCAC